AACTTCAGAAATAGAAGCATATAACATGATATCCTGAGAGTTGTCAATGCGAGAATGTAGGTTGGATTTAGGCAGGCAAGTTTCTTTGGGTAGATGTGATAGCTTTTACTAGACCAACTAAATACTTGGAAAAAAAGTTCTTTGTAAGCTTTTGGTTGGATTTACAAATTTTGCAGCAAAAAATGCATTTTCTGGGTTACCCCAATCTGCCATCCAACATTTCCAGAGACCAGTATTCATAGTTTCGTGGTTGGTAGGGTCAGAAGGGACCTAAGTAGACCATCAAGTCCAACCCCCTGCCATGGGCGGGAAAGAATGCTGGGGTCAAATGACCCCAGCAAAGTGTTCATCTAGCCTCCTTTTGAAGACCCCCAGGGTAGGAGTGAGCACCACTTCCTTTGGAAGTTGGTTCCAGATCCCAGCCACCCTGACTGTGAAGTAGTGCCTCCTGATATCCAGCCTGAACCTACTCTCAATTAACTTGTGGCCATTATTCCTAGTTACTTCTGGTAGTGCTTGGGGGAACAGGTCTCTCCTGTTCCCCGCTGGTCCCCCTTGGTAAGTTTATAGATGGCCACCAGATCCCCTCTTACCCTTCTCTTGTGGAGGCTGAACAGGTTCAGGTTCCGTAGCCTGCACTCATAGGGCCTGCCCTGATGCCCCCTGATAATGTGAGTGGCCCTCCTCTGGACCCTCTCCATGTTGTCCACATCCCTTCTGAAGTGCGGCGCCCAGAACTGAACGCAGTACTCCAGCTGCGGCCTGACCAGTGCTGCATAGAGGGGGAGGATCACCTCCTTGGACCTGCCTGAGATGCATCTGTGGATGCATGACAAGGTGCATTTGGCCTTCCTGACTGCATCCCCACATTGGCAGCCCATGTTCATTTTGGAATCAATAATGACTCCAAGATCCTTTTCTGCCTCAGTGCAGCCAATCCCACCGTGTCAAAAATCATGAGACAAACTCTTAAAAATCAAGATTTGGTATGTAAATCATGATATGCTATTTTTCAAGTGTGTATGGGGGGGATATTTGTAAAAGTG